TGTCCGAGGCTTTTTTTTTTTATAAAAAAGATTTTGTAAAAGGGAAAAAAAAAAAAAAAAAAAAAAAAAAAAGCGCATGTGCACCTCAGCCCCTTTCCCATTATCAGTTTGGGATTACAGGCCAGAACAAGTTTACTTTTTAAAAATTATCTACAGTTTTCACTTATGTGAGATGCATGAACCAGATGAATACTTTGCTGTTTCAGTTTAGTGGAAAGCAGAAAGGAGTGGCGTCATAAATGGTTAAAAATATCCTCTAAGCAGTATCTCTTTCCAGTATTGATTACGAGGGATGCACTTTTAACAATCTGTATCTCTTACCAAAGGTCGCCAATCACAGGAGCTGTGACTCTGTATGTCCCTGTCATTTTCCCATTGTATCTCCCCACCTAATAAATGTATACTGGTGCAATGCACAATGTCTGTATAGCTAGCTAATGTCATCAGAACCAATCTAATTTTTCACAACGGTTCTTTTAAAACGGTCTCAGCTCTGCTGCAGAGAGGTGGGATCAGAGTGACACTCAGTGGCAAGACAGAAAAAGTCATTCTCAGTTTCTCAGATTCTGTCTAACATCTATTATAATGATGCATAAAATTTTAATTAGATCATTATCAGTATTTTCTGTCTGTTTAATAATCTATGTAAGCATTATAATTCAGACCAAAACATGTACTTTTGATTATGCAAACTGAAAGAAAGATTGGATTACTTACTTTACCGAGGCCCCCCTCACTTGTAACTTGTATGCTGTGATCTCCTGCAATTGAAAAAAAGAAAAAAGAATTTCAGAAATTGAACTAAAAACTCAAATACTCATTTTCAGAAGTAAGAGACTTGAATCACCATAGTTTTTACATTCTGCTGTATTTGAATCTTTGCAGATTACTTGAACAGTCTGAAGAATAGCATTTTACATCTTGCATACAATTTAGCATGTTGCATATGTATAACTGACAGTTTGTGACCCTCCCGGTTGTTTGTGTTAGAGCAAAACATTTTCTGTATGTTTTTGAATGCACACCAATCTATGGCTAACTGAATTTGGTACGTGAAAAAAAGCAGACATTTTCCCTTTTATGAAAGTAGACATTGGAATAAATGACAGAATTTTGCTATTAAAGATTTTTAACATCAGTCTTGACAAGCATTTGAGAGAAATATTTTAGGTGGAGTAGTTCTGCAGTAAGGTAGTGCTATGGACTGTCAGTCTTTCCAGCCTTGCCTGCTTTGATGCAGGGAAAGATTCATAGTATTACGTTCAATTATGGTGCCAGAAATTCTTCTGAGTCTGTGGCTGCCTGGAGTCACTCAAACGCGCAGCATTCAAGAATGCTAATAAATAAGAGTTATCATAGTACAATGTTGCTTGAAACACTGTATGTAAAATAATTTCCATCTATCTCAAACAGGGTCCTGTCGCATCACCCATGTCTATGCGATCTGTTCTAACAAGCGGGTCATGCCTCTCCCCGCCACCGCCACCACCGCCGCCGCCACCTGGACCTCCCCCCACCTTTGATACAGAAACCGTAAAGGATGAAGGAACCGCATCTCGCTCAGCCCTATTTGCACAGCTTAACCAGGGAGAGGCAATTACCAAAGGTCAGGAGAAAAGAAATCAAATTTTGGTCCATGAGTCAAACTACATCAAGAGCTGCTATATGTATTAACCTAACGTCCACCGCACTTTTAAGTTACATTTAAGCAACTCAGATCTTTCTGAGGCTTGCATTGAGTCTGATGGATGAGACTACATACCAAAACCTCCTCTAGAAGCAACAGCACCCAAATATGTTCAGCATACCTGAAATTCACACCATTTATTTAGAGGTATCCTTTTAATTTTAAGGCAGCCAAGCTGGACGTCTTCAGTAGCTGGTGAGCCTGTAAGCTGCAATTGCAATAGAAATTTATCCCCCTTTCTGATTCACATTCAGTGTACCAACCTGTGTCAAAACGTGTTATGTGTTAGGTGAAAAGGTACGGCTCACAGATCACCGTGGAGTACAATAATAAAGCTTTTGTATTAACACTGGACAGTTGTAATTAAAGTGGATGGCTGTGAGTTTAAATACATACCATTGATATATCTGCCTTTAATGCTGCAAGGATAGGTCACATATTGTCATAAATTAGAAAAAGAATCTCATTTTTATGGATGGAAAAATATGACATGACAAGCTCTTAGAGCTTGCTACAGACAAGAGAGTGACTAGAAGACATTGCGGCATTTCCTGTTAAAGATACTAAGACAGCCCATCCACAGTAAAAGAGGTTTTATATGAATTGCTAAAAATACGTAGGCAGTTACACTTTAGCTGGTTACCCAGGCAAACCTTGAGGAAATAAAAAATGTAAATTCACAGAATAATTTAACACGATCACAAATGAACCTTTCCTGCTTAAATATGAACACCCTTAGGACTGGAAAACAGACTCTCTTTCATAAACACCCCTTTTTTTTAGGGCTTCGACATGTCTCTGATGACCAGAAGACTCACAAGAACCCCAGCCTACGTGCCCAGGGTCCATCTGTTCGTTCTCCAACAAAAAGCCATACTCCAAGTCCCACCTCTCCCAAGAATTCCCCGCAGCAGAGCCATGCCCCTGTCTTGGAGCTAGAGGGAAAGAAGTGGAGAGTGGTGAGTTCCAGTCACACCTCTGAATTGCACCCTGCACATTGCAAACCAGGTTGAGCACTGAACGTCTTGCAAAAGGCTGTCTCTGATCAAGGTGCAACCAATCAAAGTTGAAACTAAAATGGGCTGATTCTTGCATTGCTCTGCCTTGCTACAGTTTAGTTTTTACTATTCTGTAGCAGCTAAAGTTAATTCATTTGCCTCTGAGAATCATATACTCATTCATCAAACTGAAGAATGGCAGAACCAGCATATAAATTCCTTGCAAAATCAGACAGTCCCCCAGAAACAAGTCCAGTGGAGAACTCCAATTAAAATGCCTTCTTGCAGGCTGTTCGTGTGAATGAGACATAACAGTATTATCACAGAGCACTTTCTCCAGCTTTGTTAACCAATGGAATTATATATTTATTTTTCATCACCATGCAAGCACGTCTCCCGTGCTTAAAAGTAGAGAAGTGTTTTCTTTTTTCTCAATCTATAGATGGAAAAGATAGATTTGTTTCAAGTTTGGGAGTTAATTTATGTAGGCATATACCAAAGAATCTGTGGGTGAAAATTCACATGACCGTGTTGGTTAAAAGACGGAAGAAACAATATGCAGTTTAGTCATGCAGAAGGTTATATACACAGTCATTACTGTGGAGCTGAGTTTGCAGAAGGTGCAGTCACAGTTTGCCTGTGTTATGTTGCCTTAGGGTTATAGTACCTGGAACTTTCCTTGCAGATCCCTAGTCTTTCCTTGACATCCATGGAGTGTACATGTCATAGAATCATAGAATCATAGAATTGTTTAGGTTGGAAAAGACCCTTAAGACCATCGAGTCCAACCGTTAACCTAACACTGCCAAGTCCACCACTAAACCATGTCCCTAGGTGCCACGTCTACACCTTTTTTAAATACCTCCAGGGATGGTGACTCAGCCGCTTCCCTGGGCAGCCTGTTCCAGTGCTTGATAACCCTTTTGGTGAAAAAATTTTTCCTAATATCCAATCTAAACCTGCCCTGGCGCAACTTGAGGCTGTTTCCTCTCGTCCTATTGCTTGTTATTTGGGAGAAGAGACCAACCCCCACCTCGCTACAGCCTCCTTTCAGGTAGTTGTAGAGAGCAATAAGGTCTCCCCTCAGCCTCCTCTTCTCCAGACTAAACAACCCCAGCTCCCTCAGCCGCTCCTCATAAGACTTGTGCTCTAGACCCTTCACCAGCTTCGTTGTCCTCCTCTGGACACGCTCCAGCACCTCAATGTCCTTCGTGTAGTGAGGGGCCCAAAACTGAAGGCAGTACTCGAGGTGCGGCCTCACCAGTGCCGAGTACAGGGGCACTGTCACCTCCCTGGTCCTGCTGGCCACACTATTCCTGATACAAGCCAGGATGCCGTTGGCCCTCTTGGCCACCTGAGCACACTGCTGGCTCATGTTCAGGCGGCTGTCAACCAACACCCCCAGGTCCTTTTCCACCAGGCAGCTCTCCAGCCACTCCTCCCCCAGCCTGTCCCTTCATGCTTCATAATGAAAGGAAATGTCTTCACCTATTACTCCTTATTGTATTTGGTAATGCCTGCACCTGTTCATAAGATACCGTATAGACCATTATACAACATTTGGGGGAACAAAAATTTGCGCTGTTCTTCAAGGTGCCGGTCTAAATTGGATAGGAGCCAAGCAGCAGTTTTGTGACTGCATTCTTAAATTCTTGTGAGCATAAGGTCTTTGCTACAAAATTAACAGGTTTTGTCATGGTCTATGCTAAGTTCTTAATTTCTGCAGCTCTAAAATATACATGTCATCTAAGGGTGAATTAGGTGAAACATCTGATCACCAAGCAGATTAGGTTTTTAAGCCACAGGAAGGATATTGCTCTGTTGCAACTGAAGATGCAATGACTCGAGGATAAGTTGTACTAAACTCTGTCTGACTGTTAGCTAGTTAAAGACAACCAATTAAATAAACTTTCTTTTGAAATAGGAATATCAAGAGGATAAGAATGACCTGGTCATTAACAACACTGAACTCAAGCAAGTGGCCTACATTTTTAAATGTAACAAATCTACGCTTCAGATAAAAGGAAAAATCAATTCAATTACTATTGGTGAGTGGATAGCTCAGCTGGGCTTTAAATGCCAGTCTTGAAAAAACTGACTTATGTGATGAATAATGCATCTGAATCATTCCATTCCCTGCAATGGATTGATCACGTGAGTAAAGCCGCTCAGCTATGCAGTGCAAGACTGGGAATTTTCGTAGTTAATGTAGCAGGTGTGCATATATTTGCTTTTATCTTGCCTTTCTTATTTATGATTGCTTTTATTTTAGACAACTGTAAAAAGTTTGGCCTTGTGTTTGACAACGTTGTGGGAATCGTGGAAGTGATCAATTCCAGGGATATTCAGATTCAGGTAAATATCTATTTGAAAAACGAAGATAGACAGAGAACAAGCAGGGAAAAAATGCCCAACATGTAGCTACAAGAGATTTTAAAAACTCACAGGAGCACAACAAAAATAAGAGATTGATGTATCCAAATGTATCTTTATATCCACTAAATTCTGCTGACGTATTTAGAAAATGGCTATGAAAACTATTGAGCATCACTGAACAAACCTCCCTTAGCCCAGTCCCTTCTGGTTCCAGTGAAGCTGAGAGATCTGTACACTGTAAGAACTATTACTTCTGGCCCTAATTTTCTTGCTTTCATGGTAAACAGCTCCTAGGACTTGAAAGTTCAGCAGTGCTTATGGAACAAATTCTGGCAGTTAGCTAATTGATTTCTAAGCCCAGAAGATGGTTATTTCTTTTTTTCTTAGTTTCTCAACAGAAAGGTTCAAACAGACTGTCAAAGGACAACTAAATGACATAAAGTGAAAGTAGGCGCCAGGATTTCGAAAATCTCCCCTGCCAGCGACGTGACACATTACATGAGTAAGCCGTGTAGTCACTTGCCTACCAATGAGCCGCTACTGGTTTTGTCTTTGATAACCAGCAAGCAAAGCTTCATCAGAGATCACCTTCCTCGGGGTTCCCATGAAAAGAAAACAGGTGTATTTTAAATCCATATGTTGCCCTCTCTATTGGGGACACTTGCCCCCTTCAAAACATAGACAGTCTGCCGGACATTTACAGCACTTCATTCATCCCGTTCCAAAGAGGCGTAACTATACATGCTCTAGTGCTGGGTTGTGTCCGCTATACACGACCTAGTCTCAAGAAAGGACTTTAGGATGTATTATTTTAAGCAAAAAAGAAATGAAATGTTAATTAAATTATATCAAACTGCCAGTCTTCAAGCAAGGTAAGGTCTTTTGATTAAAAGGCTGGGCCTGCTGTATGACATTAAATGTAGACAATCCTGCGCCACGCTTCAGAAATACTGGTCACAGCCACCACAGGGAATAATAGCAAGACGGTTTTTTCATATTTTGAACCTCATGCAACTTTGCTACCAGCTGTGCATCATCTTCTGAACTCTAACAAGCAGTTTTATTCATGATGCCTACATGTCTTCTTACGGCAGAGGCAGTTCATAAAAGAAAAGGATCCCAGGCATTTATTTGAGTGGGTTTTTTTAAATAACTAGATGATTTTTATCATTACCTCTAGAACTATTCATAAAAGCTGAAAAATTCATATGTAATGAATAGCGAAACCACGCTTGTTAATACTCAAATAAAGGGGAAATATCTTTCCTAAGAATCAAAATTCTTTTGATTAAGCAGGTTCTATGAATATTGCATAAGGCTTCTATGCCGTGGAGCAGAGTGGAGTTCCACTTAAGAAGGTAGAGTCTGGCTATATGCTATATGCTGCTTGAATCAGGCAGCTTCTGCAGGGTTTGAGTATGCCAAGTGCTGAGCACCTCAATTTTGTCAGTTTTTTGAAGACCTGAGCTTTTAATTTGCAAATACATTATATGTTCATGCAACGAATGTCAGTAAATTCATCCTACAGATTTTGCTGTAAATGGTTATTTCATTGTCATATTGCTTGGCTCTCCTTTGTCTCAGTGGTATTTTTTTTCTTGCCAGATGTTTGCAAAATTTATTAAACACGCCCTCCTTTTGTTCTCTGTTGTGTAAGAACCCATTAAAGAAAAGAAAGATTGGTTTAAGGTGCATTGATCCACTACATAGATCAGATTTCAGGCTCAGGGTGGGATGCAAGAGGACAGACCACTTCTTCTTTGTTTGCTGTCACATTTAAGGAACTGAAGCTGAACATACATTCTTACTTTGAGTGATGGGAGACACTCTTTCATTAAAAAGAACACATCTATCACATGTTGTTACTGTTTTATGGCTCAGAATAACCTCTGCCCTTTTGATGCATTGTCCAGAGTATATTGCTGTCCCTGCTAGCGAGGGCAGGAGGAGAAGGGGGAATTTTTACGGACAACCAGCAAGCCAGCCAGTTAGCCATGAATAAAATCTTTTAATCTGTAGAACTGTAAACAAGAGAAGATTAGCCTTTCTCCCCTCAAGTAAATCTTGCGCTTGCTTTTAAAGTGACATAAGAAATACCTTTAGAGATTTAATTAAATTGATCTCAGTACTTTGTCAGAACTGTAGCTTGCCTGAAGGGGATAAGAACCCTTCCCTATTATATGCTGTAAAACCTGGAAGAGCTCTGAAGTCTTCAGAACGTATTACAAATCACTCGTTGAGTACGACTCTATGCTGGGATCTTGCATTTGCCCTTACTGGGTTGGAGTTGACATGGTTGATTTCTTAACCAGTTCTCACTGATGAACAAGGTGAACACCGCCTAAATATCAGCACAAAAGTGTCACTGAAATTAGAGAGAATCAGGGAAGCACTTTCATCAAACTGTATATTAAAAGCTTGCTGTATATTTTAAGTTTGCTGTTGGGTATAGATCTCTGTTACCACCACCAAGAATTTTCACAGTGTCTCACAAATGAAAGCATCATACAGGCAGCTGACACACAGATCAGATGTTGGTGGCCAAAATTAGACCTGGCAGGCAATGAGGATTTTATTAACAGCATCTTTGTGTGCATTTTCAGATTTCATATTAAGTAGATTTTATTTTGCAGGTGATGGGGAAAGTGCCAACCATTTCTATTAACAAAACAGAAGGCTGCCACATCTACCTCAGTGAGGAATCATTAGATTGTGAGATTGTGAGTGCCAAGTCATCCGAGATGAACATCCTCATCCCCCAAGACGGTGATTATGTGAGTGAGATATTTTTAAAGCTTTCCTCCCCCTTCCCCACTAGTCTTGGTAGCTAATAGCATTTAAACTGCTAGGAAGGAAACTAACATACCACCCATATTACATCACCAAAAAATTATCTACAACAATTGAATTTCTGTGTACCAATATCTCAGCTATCAGTGCAGGAAGAACTCCTTACTTTCTGGGGCACAAAGTAATTTCAAAGATCAGACATGACGTTATTTCTTTCCATTTTGATAGATAATGGCTTTGTCTCCTGTCCATTTAATTTTCTTTTTTGATATCTCAACATAATCTCCCAAAGAAACTCACTTCACACAAGAGCACTCAAGCCTGAAGATGACGATGCTAAAACTAAGATAAATACAATACTACGACAGATGAAATCATGTGGTATAATATCCTTGTTTTTTCTAAAGCTGTTGATACATGGGTAGCATCTGTAATACTTGCTATTATTTTCAATATAGGTCCTTAAAAGCCACTTAAACATGTGCATTTTCCCGCCTCCTTTTCTGTTCTAGTAAGATACTATGCCCACCAGCATTTCTAGTAAAGTCATGCTCTGTCCCTTCACACGCTAGCAAGGGATCCTGCAGGCAAAGCATACTTGTAATAGTTTCCTAGTTTCCTCAACAGAGCAGTGTTGAAATTGTACTGAATGGCTGTAGACAGAACTTAAATTTCTTGTAAATCTTTTGGGCTGGAATTTTGTATGGTAGAGGAGTTTAGGCTTTATAAAAGAATATACGTAACAAGAGAATTCTCATGCTCCACATTTCCAAAAGTGACTGCTGGATGCCCAGCTTCAGATAACTAAAAAGTGAATGATTTTCAGTGGGTGCATAGTCACCTATTTCTTAAAAAAAAAAAAAAGGTCCTTTTGATCAGTCTTGCCCCAAATCACCATATCATCTGAAATTACTGGCTATCAAAACACCTATCTGAGGTCTGAACAAAAAAACCCCTTCTCTTCACGTTGTTTTTTGTTTACTGGGAACAGAGAAAGACCCAACAATGTCTCCCACCCTTTCACCGAATATACGGAATAGAATGAGACTTTCTTTGATGTTCTGCTTCATTTTGTGTACCCCACAAGGGATGCTGAGTCTTTTGAACTGTATCACACTTAAAATGATAGGGTTTTTTTTTATTTTATTTTTCCATATTATAATATTGCTTTCGTCCTTAAAATTAGTCTCCTCGCGAAATCTCCACATCTAAATCCTTTCTACTGTCTTCCAACCCAGACACTGATGGAATCTAAAGTCATTTCTGACATGAGGCTTATTTACTTAGTTGTTCCAAATAATGGTGCGAGAGGGATTATTGCAAAGTAGTGCCATACCGAGGCTATTTGAAACTGGGTAGCAATAAGGCTTTTTCCTGTGTGGCATTGTAAAATAGCTTCCTAGGGTAATGAAGAAGGCTTCTCTCTAATCCTGGCATGTCTGAGCTATCAATGCTTTCTCAGTCATGTAGCACTAATAGTATTCCACCAGTTTTCATGAGGTATCCACTGTTTATTTAACCATCATTGTTGCTTTTGTTTCTTACCAGAAAGAATTCCCGGTTCCTGAACAGTTCAAGACAGCATGGGATGGATCTAAGTTGGTCACTGAACCTGCAGAGATTGTGGGTTAACTTCCTAACGCCATACAGCACTTGCTGACCGTGACCAGACCGCAGCCAGCATAAACAAAGCAGCAATGTAAAGAACTAGAAGTAGCAGTAGTTCATACTGCTGTGATAGGCCTTCAAGCATTAGCTCTGCATGCTAGAAACAATAACACATCTGGCACGCTTTTGTGAGGCATCCCAGTATTTTTCATGTTTCCACACAGTTTGCCTTCACATACAATTTTAATTCTAAATGATGTCATGTGAATGTAATGGATTAAAACCCCCACCCTCCAGTCACATCATTGGTTTGAAATACTGTATACATTAAGCCAAAATACTGCATGATACACTTTGTTATCATCTTGCTTCAGTGCATTCCTTTTTCTGTTTCTGCTAATCAAAAACAGCATTAAGACTTTAAGATGTTTATTTTTACCTATTAAGCAATTCCTGTATGATGCAGTAAAAATGTACCCCTAGAAAGTATGCAGTTCCTTGTAGTTCTGTGGCAATCATAATTGGTTTTGTTTTAAACAAGCAAAAAAGGACAACTTTCAGCAATACGTTTTGCTAACAGAAGATTAAAAAAATCTGGTATTTTAATCAAACACATTTCTAATATGTATATTTAGAAGACCCCTATGTTTTCTGTGAGGTGAGATTTCATTATGGTCCACAGACTTGCTGTTGCCCTCTCATTTCTTGCAAATTAGTAATCCTTTCTAAGCTAAAGCCTCATCTAAACTAAAACCTCACAGCAAATCACTTGAAGGTTTTTTGCTCCTTGGATTTCTTTTTTTCTTTTTTTTTTGTGAGACAATCTCTCATTCTTTAAAATTTCACATTGTATCTTGCATCCTATTCAGAAAACTGAGGGAGGCATATATGCCAGATACCAGCTAGTTTCCTTACTAATAATGTTGCTTTAAAATATTGCTATTGTAACTCATATTCATCAAAAATACCTTCCTGTTTCTTCCCCACATTTGTAGGACTTACTCAATTTCAAATATGTTCACAAAGGAAAGCCATAGATTTATGTCATACTAATTCTGAACCCAAATGAAGGGGTAATTTCCTGTTTAGCCCTTTGATTCTACTTTATAGTCCCTATTGTACATGCCTTTTTAACAAAGGTGGAGTGGTGTATACATTTGTACTATTTCAGCACATAGTACGAATAAAATTTTAAAAATTTAAAAAGTCAGCTTATGTTTTTGATCACTTGTAATACCTCCTAACAGTGAAATCACAGTGAGATGCTTGCAGAGCTAGTTACAAGCTAAACTTTGTGCCTAATTTACCTTGAAAGTACATTAATTCTTGAGGGTTTTTAAGTATATCTTTGATTGTAGACCCTATACAGTACAACCAGTAGTGCTCATTCCGTAAGGTTTTGCTATCTGATGTTTAATCTATGTGTATAATGTGTTTGCTTTAATACATACCATTTTTTCAACAGTAAACTTCTTACGAAATAAAAAGGAAAATGTACTTGTTTAAATACAAAGTTGTTCAGAGCTTGCTCCATTGTAGTGTTTGTCCTATATGCTTTCTCCTTCTTAAATGCTGTTTCAAAAGCGTGATTGAGAAAAAGTAGCTCCTCCTCCCATTTCATTAAATATTATCACTTTTGCTGCCATAATCCACCTGACAGTGGAATAGTGGGTATTCTGCATGCTAGCAGATAAACCTTAAGTTTCTTGCAGATAACTTCGGTGACAGCCAGAGAATTGAGCTTTTCATGATTCTCACTTCTAGGTACACCTGTATCTTCCAGAGATTATGTCTAGGGAGATGATCATGACCTGGTGCAAGTTTATAAGGTTTGCCTTCTATTTTTAGCTGTTCCCATTGTTTCCCTATATGGCTTTGGATGTGTCCCTCCTGTGTTAACAAACCACAAAGCGGTCCACTCCATATTTCACTTGGATGTGCCTCATATCTGAAAAATGGGCATCACATACTTGTCATGTCAAAACTGTTGAAGGATTGTTTAATCCTTAAATCACAATCATAATTTGTTCCATAAAATAATCTCATTCTGGAGCATTCTGACCTGAAATACTGACTCTTGTTTTCATCCAGCATCAAACAGGGATCAAGTCATTACGCACCAACAGGAAGCCACTTAATCCTTTGGAAGTATGATACAAAACAAGCATCAAATGCTTGATGATAAGCAGGAAGCAGCGAGACAGCTCTGAATCACTACACAGGCAAATTCTTTTAGTTCCTCCTGGGGATTTAACTCCCCCCTCAAAAACAAACGGTGTGAAGGCTGGTCTGATTCTTCCTTTAAACGTTTGAAAGCAAACTCCCTTGTGGCTAGACCTTCTTCCTGACACTTGTGTTTCTGCGACATGCAAGACCCAAGTACATTTTTTGGACTGGTTTCTTAAGAGGAAGAAGTCTTAGGCAGTAACAGTGCGTGCCTGACAGGCTGAACACACCTGAGAACTTCATCAGAGGGCAGAGGTTTAAAAGATAAGGAAGGAGGCCTTGCATGGACAGACCCAAGGTAATTGCTCCAACTGGAGAAAAGGCTAACAAGTCCATGCATTACTGGACACCAGAAAAATAGGAGAGAGACTTTTCAAATATGCAGATAGCTTTTATCCAGTACTCTTAGTCAGCCATGTGACAAAAAATCTATAACCAGCTTTTGTCAGTTCTGGTCCTCATCAAAAATACTTATCATACATTTCCAATAGGTTGGACTGTTCTTTCCCTGCAACCTGTCTTTAACGTCATAAATATAAAAGAGGGCTAAATAAACAAAATAAATGCAAGGTTCTGATTCTACCCTACATGAATTTGTGTATAATTAAAGGTTAAAAACTCATTTTCTGAAAAATCAAGTATATCTTGAGACAGAAACAGTCAACAAGCTGCAGAATGATGATTTGATGAATCATCCTAACCATGATCAGTTGTGTCCACCAAGTCTTTAGCAGCAAGCTTGATCTGTGTTTAATGGTTGACTCCAGCAAGAAATGAACTGCTAAATGCTGAGCACCCCTAAGGTCCTATTGATCATTTCTTTTTACTGCATGCTATCACACAAGGTATACCCCTTGATTTCAGCTCTACACTGCACTAAAATTGTGGTTATGCTCTAAATCAGTGCAAATGTCGAAACAGAAATCAGCGCATTTGGTGCATATATTGATATGAACAAATGTGTATGGTGTAATTAGCCAGTTCATTTTTATAAACCTGCATGGGTCAAATATTCACCAGTATAGATGCTGTCTATCAGCCAGTAAAATACATGTAAAAGACAAGGAGATTTTTTACTAAGTGTCCAAATGTAAAAAGCTTTTTTCCTAAGAAAAGCTTCAACGGATCTCAGAATATAGAACCTGTGTAAAAGTACTCGTGAAGTACTCTGTACAAGTACCTCATGAAGTTCAACAAGGGGAACTGCAAAGCCCTGCACCCGGGGAACAACCACCCTGTGCACCAGTATACACTGGGGGCCCACCCAGCTTGGCAGAAAAGGACCTGGGGGTCCTGGTGGACACCAAGTTGAACATGAGCCAGTGATGTCCCCCTGCAGCAAAGGCGGCTGATGGTATGCTGGGCTGCATAAGGAGAAGCATTGCCAGCAGGTCGAGGGAGGTGATCCTTCCCCTCTACTCAGCACTGGTGAGACGACACCTGGAGTGCTGTGTCCAGTTCTGGGCTCCCCAGTATAAGTGAGACATGGACATACTGGATAGAGTCCATCAGAGGGCCACAAAGATGGTTAAGGGACTGCAGCAACTGTCCCAGGAGGAAAGGCTGAGACAGCTGGGACTGTTCAGCCTGGAGAAGAGAAGTCTCAGGGGAGATCTGCTAATGTCTATAAATACCTGGAGGGAGGGTACAAAGAGGATGGCGCCAGGCTCTCCTCAGTGGTGCCCGGTGACATGACAAGAGGCAACAGGCACAAACTGAAACACAGGAGCTTCTTTCTGAACATCAGGAAACACTTTTTCACTGTGCGAGTGACCGAGCACTGGCACGGGTTGCCCAGAGAGGCGGTGGAGTCTCCATCCTTAGAGACATTCAAAAGCTGTGTGGAGATGGTCCTGGGCAACTGGCTGTAGGTGGCCCTGCTTGAGCAGGGGGTTGGACCAGGTGACCTCCAGAGGTCCCTGCCAACCTCAAACATTGTGTGATTCTGTGATACTTGCTTAGTTGTTTAAAATATTGGTTGCTAAGAATTAGTGGAAATCAGAAGCATTGAGGTAGTGATTCCGTGTATCCACCAGATGGCAGAAACCAGCTGAGGCCCAGGCCCTTGCAAGCTCTTCCTGTTAATGAAAAAATGTGGGATAACAGTGTTTGCAAAGGACATGTATACTGTTTGTCAAAGAACTGGGAAATTCAACTCTCTAAAAGTCACTGTAAAAACATTAAAAGATTACTTTGATTTTGAAATTATCATCCTGGTAAAAAGCAAAGGTTTGAGTGAGATGAACAAGGACGAAGAGAAAACATCTACCTGTTACCAATGATTAATTTGTTCCGTTTTTTTTTAACACCACTAAGCATATCTCCATTAAAAGGACTTTTCAAAAAAATACCTGATTGAACTCAAAAGGAATATTTAACAGAGCTATTGAAGATAAAGGGGTAAGTAATTTCAAGTCTGCATTTGAAAACCAGAAATCTTTTCAATGTCGTAGGGAATTAGGCACTTGCTAAGGCTTCCCAGTGCCATAGTTATTATCCAGACAAACCATTCTTGTTCGTACTATTTTCTGAGTCCTCGACGTATCTGCATCTGCATGAGTTCCTTCAATGTTACTCTATGCATGTTCATAAACCTGTGCATCACATTTCTTTCCCAGAGATCAAGATTTGTCCGTTCGAAGTCCTTCAGGGGCTCACCTCAGTATGCACCCTTAGTGCACTCTCCTGACGTGCTATGCGACTGGGCTCCCTCTAAAATGTGGAAGCAGCTGCCGCTTGTTTCACAGACAAATGAAGGTAATGTTCACTCGATTACACGATATGCTAGCAAGCAGAGCAGTCATCAAGAACACACAAGATAAATTCAGTTCCCCTGCTGGAGGTGATTTGGACCCACTGCTGTGAAAATACTGCCCAGCAGTAGCTACTGCCCTCAGATGGTCCCTATAAACAGGCCCCTGACACATGAAGCAGTCATTAGATAAAAATCATAAATAACACTCCCCAAGAAACGTTCTGACTACCAGAAAACAAGAACCTGCCTCCTCTTTATGGTTGAAATAATCCTGAAAAATCTTTTTGGGTGCCAAATTTTTGTAGAAGAACCGAGAACACTCTCTACTCCACCACCCAAAACTCACTGGTGACCTTCTAGGCTTAGCCCTGCTTCCCTAAGTCTTGCTGCACACCAAGGACCCTACCTGATCACCACTGACCACCAAAGATTCTTCTCCAAACCCCTAGTTCCAGCGCTGCTTCAACGGAGGCACACTCACATTTCCTCTCTGGCAACACTAAAGAATGTAACAGGGCATTAGGCAACTGGGAAGGCTTCTGACTGCCACACTCCCGAGTAAAGCTGTTTTCTCGTTACTCTTCATTCAAACCAGGTCAAGGTAAAAGGCAAATAAAGGTATTTACACACAACTCCCAAAACAGACAGTACTGGTAAACAAGTAACCACACTAAAAATCTATGTACCTAAGATAAAAGTGGAAAAGTTCCTTTTTTTCCTCCAGCGGATTTGCTATGGCCTTTTTATCTACTGTGACCACTGGTATTCTGTTCTTTGTCTGTATTACACCTGAACTTGCATCTGTTAGAAAGAAAATACCTCTCGGTGGACCATGACAACTTTTAGACCCAATCTCTCCTTCAAAATCCTCAGATGGATGAGACAGGTCAGTTTCAGAGTGAAAGGCTAAATTGATTTAATTTGGGAGACAGCTGTGCCATTTTTCTACACTGAA